CCCGCCGCCTCCTCTTACGCGGCCCCGCCGCCTCCTCTGACGCGGCCCCGCCGCCTCCACTGAAGCGGCCCCGCCGCCGGCTCTGACGCGGCCCCGCCGCCCGCTGATCGCGGCCCGCCGCCGGCTTTGACGCGGCCCCGCCGCCGCCTCCTGATCGCGGCCCCGCCCCGGCTCTCTCGCGGCCTCGCCGCCGGCCCTGACGCGGCCCCGCACCGGCTCTCTAGCGGCCCCGCCCCGTCTCTCTCGCGGCCCCGCCCCGGCTCTCACCAGGCCCCACCGCCGGCTCTGACGCGGCCCCGCCCCGGCGCTCTTGCGGCCCCGTCCCGGCTCTCACGCGGCCCCGCCGCCGGCACTCACAAGGCCACGCCGCCGGCTCTCTTACGGCCCCGCCGCCGGCTCTCGTCCTCGTCCTCCCTCACTTTCACACTTGACTCCGGGGCTTCTCGCTCCTTCTTTCGAGACCGCACCACTCTCACGCCGCTTGGTCGGCCGGTTGCCGTCTCCCTGGTTGACCCCTCTGGGGGTCCTGTCCTCTCTCACTTCTCCACTGTCCTCCCGTGTCCGGCTGCCCCTTCGGGCACCCTATCAGGACTGTACCTTCCATCGTTCTCTACGAACTTGGTGAGTGGTGCGGACCTGCAGGATGCGGGGGTTCACCAGTTCACTCCTGCGAGTCTGCGGGTGACCCACTGCACGGACGCACGCACAGGCCGGCACCTGGCCACGTTCTCACGTCGGCCGGGGTCGAGCCTCTACACCCTGACCACTGCGTCTCCTCCTGTCCCTGCGTCTGGTCAGGTAGCTGCGTCAGGTCAGGTGCTTGCTGCTGCGTCCCGGTCAGGTCCTGAGTCTGCCCCCTGTTCTTGTCGCCTCCTGTCTCACGAGACTCTCCTGTGGCACCACCGTCTTCGCCACCCGTCCTTGCCCCGTCTTCGGAGCATGGCTTCCCGTGTCCTTGTCTCTGGTCTGCCCCAGTCTCTTCCTCCCCTTCCCTCCGGGCCAGGACCTTCTTGTGTCCCCTGTGTCGAGGGTCGCCTCCGGGCTACTCCTCACTCCTCCCAGTTCCCCCCGACAGAGGCTCCTCTGCAGACGCTTCACATGGATGTGTGGGGCCCAGCCCCCGTCCGTGGGCAGGGTCACGAGCGCTACTTCCTGTTGGTGGTTGACGACTACTCGCGGTACACCACAGTCCTCCCCTTGCGCAGCAAGGGTGCTGTCACTCAGGTGCTGATCGACTGGATCAGCGCGGCTCGTCTCCAGCTCAGGCAGAGCTTTGGCTCGGACTTCCCTGTTCTGCGTCTGCACTCGGACAGAGGCGGAGAGTTCTCCTCTCGCCTTCTGCGAGACTATTGTCGTGCACGGGGGATCCGCCAGACCTTCACGCTTCCGGACTCTCCACAGCAAAATGGGATTGCTGAGCGCCGCATTGGCATGGTCATGGATGTCGCTCGTACGTCCATGATGCATGCGGCTGCCCCCCATTTTCTGTGGCCGTTTGCGGTGAGGTACGCGGCGCATCAGCTCAACCTTCACCCCAGGGTCTCTCGGCCCGCGATGTCCCCGGTCTTACTGTGGACGGGGAAGGTTGGCGATGCGTCGGCGTTCCGTGTCTGGGGATCTCGGGCGTTTGTCCGCGACTTGTCAGCGGACAAGCTGTCCCTTCGTGCTGCTCCCTGTGTCTTCCTTGGCTTCCCCACTGACGCTCCAGGGTGGCAGTTTTACCACCCCTCCTCTCGTCGTGTTCTGTCCTCCCAGGACGTCACGTTCGACGAGTCAGTCCCCTTCTACCGCCTCTTCCCCTACCGCACTCCTTCCCTCCCCCCTCCACCGGACTTCCTTGTCCCGGTTCCTCCCCCGGTAGACCCCCTCCCCCCTCAGGTTCCTGCCCCCTCAGGTGTGTCCCAGGTAGACGCAGTTGACCCGGTCGAGGTTACTGTGATTCTGGTGCTGCTGCGGGTGCTGAGCCTGGGGGTGCTGACTCTCGGGGTGCTGTGCGCGAGGGTGCTGGGCCTGTGGGCGCTACTGTGGAGGGTGCGGAGCCTGGGGGTGCTGAGCCGGGGGGTGCTGTGCCTGGAGGTGCTGGGTCTGGGGGTGCTGGGTCGAGTGAAGCTGAGCCTGGGGGTGCTGAGCTGGGAGCTGCTGAGCCTGGGGGTGCTGCGTCTGGAGCTGCTGAGCCTGGGGTTCTCCTGCTGCTGCGTCTCGCCGGGAGCCCCTCTCTCCACAGGAGCTGCGCGAGTGGTTCGCTCGCCGCTGGAGGTGTGCTGCTGAGTCTGGGGGTGCTGCTGGAGCTGGAGCTGGAGCTTCTTCGACCGTCGAGGGTGCGGGTGCTGCCGGTCCCGGAGCTGCTGGACCTGCGGGTCCTCCTGGAGCTGGAGCTGCTGAGGGTGTTGGAGCTGGAGGTGTGGGTGGCGCTGGTGCTGTCGCTGAGGGTGCTGGTGCTGTCCCTGCTGAGTCTGGAGCTGCCGCGCGGCCTCGGCCGTACTTCGTTCCGCTCCTGCAGCAGGTTCTTGGTCTTTCTCCTTCAGTAGAGGGTCCACAGCCAGTCCAGTCGCAGTCCCTGTTGGAGCCGTCCTCTCCACTGCCTGCTCCCTCTCCTTACACTGGTCCTACTGGAGGTCTTGCTGAGCGTCGTGAGCCTGCGTCCCATCCCGCGTCGCCTGTTCGTGCTGCTCGTGCTAGTGGTCGCAGTTCGCGTCAGCGTCCTCCTCCTGTCCCTGGCACGCACCGGATGTCTCTGCGTCCGTCCACTGCTCCTCTGCGTGCCCCTTTGCCTTCTCCTCCTGAGTCCTCTCTTCCTGCGCTTGCCGACCCTGAGTCGGACTCCCTTCGTGCTGCCAGTCCCACTGTCACGCGTCTGCTTGCTACTGTCGTCACTGACCCCTCTTTTGAGTCCACTGCTGCGTCTGCTCTTGTCGCTGAGCTCGTCGACTTTGCTGCTCGCTGTCGTCTAGACTATGCTGCTAGTCTTATTACTGAGTCTGCGTCTGTCTGTCCTCCGTCCGTCGGGGGTGAGTGTGCTCTTGGCACGGATGTCCTAGAGGACAGGCAGGAGGAGTTACAGTGTCTAGCGGCCGCTTCACCTCATCTCGCGTCTGTACTGCTTGCTCCTGAGGGAGACCCGGATGCACTAGACATCCCAACTCCGCGCTCTTACGCGGAGGCCGTAGAGGGTCCCTACTCCTCTCAGTGGCAGGCAGCTATGGATGCAGAGATGGCTTCCTGGAAGTCCACAGGCACCTACGTTGACGCAGTTCCCCCTTCCGGGGCGAACATCGTCAGTGGCATGTGGATCTTCAGGGTGAAGCGGCCGCCGGGCTCTCCACCTGTCTTCAAGGCGCGGTATGTTGCTCGTGGCTTCAGTCAGCGGCAGGGAGTTGACTACTTTCATACCTTCTCTCCCACCCCGAAGATGACCACTCTTCGGGTGCTGCTGCACATAGCCGCTCAGCGCGACTACGAGCTTCACTCTCTCGACTTCAGCACTGCGTTCCTGCAGGGTAGCCTGCACGAGGAGATCTGGCTGCACCGTCCGCCTGGCTTCACTGGGACTTTCCCTCCTGGCACCCAGTGGAGCCTCCGACGGCCAGTCTACGGTCTCCGCCAGGCACCGCGTGAGTGGCACGACACACTGAGGACTACGCTTGCGGCTCTTGGGTTTGCTCCGTCTACTGCTGACCCGTCGCTGTTTCTGCGCACCGACACTTCACTGCCGCCGTTCTACATCCTACGTCGACGACTTGGTCTTTGCCACAGCGGACACTGCTGGACTCGCCTACGTGAAGTCCGAGCTGCTGAAGAGACACACGTGCACAGACTTGGGTGAACTGCGCAGCTACCTTGGCTTGCAGATCACTCGGGACAGAGCACGCCGCACCATTACCTTGACTCAGTCACACATGGTGCAGCAGGTCCTTCAGCGCTTCGGCTTCACGTACTCCTCGCCTCAGGCCACTCCTCTGTCTACTCGTCACTCGCTCTCAGCTCTGCCTTCGGATGAGTCCGTAGAGTCGAGTGGCCCGTACCCAGAGCTTGTTGGCTGCCTCATGTACCTGATGACCTGCACACGACCTGACCTTGCATACCCTCTGAGCATTCTTGCACGCTATGTTGCTCGTGGGAGACACCGACCAGAGCACATGGCTGCAGTGAAGAGGGTATTGCGCTACCTGTGCAGTACGTCGGGCATGGGGCTAGTGCTTGGAGGGCGGAGTCCAGTGGTCCTTACAGGCCACGCGGACGCTTCTTGGGCTGACGACCAGGCTACGCAGCGGTCGTCACAGGGTTACACCTTCAGTCTTGGTTCCGGCTCTGTTTCCTGGCGGTCTACTCGTTCGTCTTCGGTTCTCGGCTCCAGTTGTGAGGCTGAGATCTACGCCGGGGCCATGGCTGCACAGGAGCTTCGCTGGCTCACCTACCTGCTGACTGACCTTGGAGAGCCGCCTCGTTCTCCTCCAGTGCTGTACGTAGACAACAAGGCCATGCTGGCCTTGTGTCGAGAGCAGCGCTTGGAGCACAGAACGAAGCACATTGCTCTCCGCTACTTCCTTGCTTGTGATCTGCAGCAGCGTGGTCAGTTGCGACTTGCGTACGTGGCCTCTGAGGCCAACACTGCTGATGTGTTCACCAAGGCACTCGCGCCTTGTGACCATCAGCGCTTTTGCACCCAGCTGGGTCTTGTGCCTGTCTTGCCTCACTTGCTCTCCTCTTGACTTTACTTGTACTGTGACATATATATACCTGCTCTTGCTTGTCTAGTTTTATATATACGTCCGTACTCCTGCATGTGAACTGGCCTCTGGCCCTGCTCTTGTGCTCGGACTGTGTGGTGACTTTGTGATCCACCCTGAGCTTGCTTTGCTTTGCTTGACTGGTCTTGTGACCCCTTGTTCTCCCCCACTTTGCCTATGGGGGTGTGTCAAACATTATATATGTTATGCTTGTGTAGGCTACAGTGGGTTCGCCTATAGGGGGTACACAATTCTAGGGTTTACTATTTGTACTCATTTCACTGCTAGTTCATTCGTTCCCTGTTCGCTTATTCTCACAACGTCCACGTCCATGTCCACGTCCACGACCACGTCCATGTCCACGTCCACGTCCACGTCCATGTCCACGTCCACGTCCACGTCCACGTCGACGTCCACGTCCACGTCCACGTCCACGTCCACGTCCATGTCCACGTCCACGTCCACGTCCATGTCCACGTCCACGTCGACGTCCACGTCCACGTCCACGTCCACGTCCACGTCCATGTCCACGTCCACGTCCACGTCGACGTCCATGTCCACCTCCACGTCCACCTCCACGTCCACGTCCACGTCCACGTCCACGTCCACGTCCACGTCCAGGTCCACGTCCACGTCCACGTCCACGTCCACGTCCACGTCCACCTCCACGTCCATGTCCACCTCCACGTCCACGTCCACGTCCACCTCCATGTCCACGTCCACGTCCACGTCCACGTCCACGTCCATGTCTACGTCCACGTCCATGTCCACGTCGACGTCCATGTCCACGTCCTCGTCCACGTCCATGTCCACGTCCACGTCCATGTCCACGTCCACGCCCACGTCCATGTCCACGTCCACGTCCACGTTCACGTCCACGTCCACGTTCACGTCCATGTCCACGTCCAAGTTCTCCACGTCCACGTCCACGTCCAAGTTCTCCACGTCCACGTCCACGTCCAAGTTCTCCACGTCCACGTCCACGTCTACGTCCACGTCCACGTCCACGTCCATGTCCACGTCCACGTCCACGTCTACGTCCACGTCCACGTCCACGTCCACGTCCATGTCCACGTCCACGTCCACGTCCACGTCCACGTCCACGTCCACGTCCACGTCCACGTCCACGTCCACGTCCATGTCCACGTCCACGTCCACGTCCACGTCCACGTCCACGTCCACGTCCACGTCCACGACCACGTCCACGTCCACGTCCACGTCCACGTCCACGTCCACGTCCACGTCCACGACCACGTCCACGTTCACGTCCACGTCCACGACCAGGTCCACGTCCACGTCCACGTCCAGTCCACGTCCAGTCCACGTCCACGTCCAGTCCACGTCCACGTCCACGTCCACGTCCACGTCCACGTCCACGTCCACGTCCACGACCACGTCTTCGTCCACGTCCACGTCCACGTTCACGTCCATGTCCACGTCCAAGTCCTCCACGTCTTCGTCCACGTCCATGTCCACGTCCATATCCACGTCCACGTCCACGTCCATGTCCACGTCCATGTCCTCCACGTCCATGTCCACGTCCACGACCATGTCCACGTCCACGTCCACGTCCACGTCCATGTCCACGTCCACGTCCACGTCCACGTCCACGTCCACGTCCACGACCACGTCCACGTTCACGTCCACGTCCACGACCAGGTCCACGTCCACGTCCACGTCCACTCCACGTCCAGTCCACGTCCACGTCCAGTCCACGTCCACGTCCACGTCCACGTCCATGTCCACGTCCACGTCCACGTCCACCTCCACGTCCACGTCCACGTCCACGTCCACGTCCACGTCCACGACCACGTCTTCGTCCACGTCCACGTCCACGTTCACGTCCATGTCCACGTCCAAGTCCTCCACGTCCACGTCCACGTCCATGTCCACGTCCATATCCACGTCCACGTCCACGTCCATGTCCACGTCCATGTCCTCCACGTCCATGTCCACGTCCACGACCATGTCCACGTCCACGTCCACGTCCACGACCACGTCCACGTCCACGTCCACGTCCACGTCCACGTCTACGTCCACGTCCATGTCCACGTCCACGTCCACGTCCACGTCCATGTCCACGTCCACGTCCACGTCCACGTCCACGACCATGTCTTCGTCCACGTCAACGTCCACGTCCACGTCCATGTCCAAGTCCTCCACGTCCACGTCCACGCTCATGTCCACGTCCACGTCCACGTCCACGTCCATGTCCACGTCCACGTCCACGTCCACGTCCACGTCCATGTCCAAGTCCACGTCCACGTCCATGTCCATGTCCACGTCCACGTCCATGGCCACGTCCACGTCTATGTCGACGTCCATGTCCACGTCCACGTCCATGTCCATGCCACGTCCATGTCCACGTCCATGTTCACGTCCATGTCCACGTCCACGTCCACGTCCACGTCCATGTCCACGTCCATGTCCACATCCATGTCCACCTCCACGTCCACGTCCACGTCTATGTCCACGTCCACGTCCACGTCCACGTCCACGTCCACCTCCACGTCCATGTCCACCTCCATGTCCACGTCCACGTCCACGTCCACGTCCAAGTCCACGTCCACGTCCACGTCAACGTACAGGTCCACGTCCACGTCCACGTCCAGGTCCACGTCCACGTCAACGTCCACGTCCACGTCCCATCCAGGTCCATGTCCACGTCCACGTCCACGTCCACGTCCACGTCCACGTCCACCTCCACGTCCACGACCATGTCCACGTCCACGTCCACGTCCACGTCTACGTCCACGACCACGTCCACGACCACGTCCACGTCCACGTCCACGTCCACGACCACGTCCACGTCCACGTCCACGTCCACGTCCACGTCCACGTCCATGTCCACGTCCACGTTCACGTCTACGTCCACGTTCATGTCCACGTCCACGTCCACGTCCACGTCCACGTCCACGTCCACGTCTACGTCCATATCCACGTCCACGTCCACGTCCACGTCCACGTCCACGTCCACGTCTACGTCCACATCCACGTCCACGTCCATGTCCATGTCCATGTCCACGTCCACGTCCATGTCCACGTCCACGACCATGTCTTCGTCCACGTCCACGCCCACGTCCACGTCTATGTCCACGTCCATGTCCACGTCCAAGTCCTCCACGTCCACGTCCACGTCCACGTCCATGTCCACGTCCATGTCCACGTCCACGTCCAGGTCCATGTCCACGTCCACGTCCATGTCCACGTCCACGTCTATGTCCACATCCAAATCCACGTCCACGTCCACGCCCAGGTCTACGTCCACGTCCACGTCCATGTCCATGTCCACGTCCACGACCATGTCTACGTCCATGTCCACGTCCACGTCTACGTCCGCGTCCACGACCACGTCCACGTCCGCGTCCGCGTCCACGTCTACGTCCATGTCCACGTCCATGTCCGCGTCCAGGTCCACGTCCAGGTCCACGTCCACGTCCACGTCCACGTCCATGTCCGCGTCCTGGTCCATGTCCACGTCCACGTCCACGTCCACATCCCCGTCCACGTCCACGTCCACGTCCACGTCCACGTCCACGACCACGTCCACGTCCACGTCCACGTCCACGTCTATGTCCACGTCCACGTCCACGTCCACGTCCATGTCCACGTCTACGTCCACGTCCACGTCCATGTCGACGTCCACGTCCATGTCCACGTCCATGTCCATGTCCATGTCCACGTCCACGTCCACGTCCACGACCACGTCCATGTCATTTGCACTCGAAGTTCCCATACTGACCGACCTGGCCAATGCACCATTTTCCATATACATATGCATTAGATTCCTTTCAAACCTTTTTAGCTCACTAGATTTATATATTACCCACCTTCTGATCGAGTGAGACCGCTAGATTCCCTCTACTTTTTGAGAAATAAGCGTTTCAGTTCTCCTTGGCCCTAGTTGCACTATCAGTGCGAAATGCCGGCCAGACTGGCCGACGCACAATTTTCTCTACACATGTGCGTCAGTTACCTTTCAAACCCTTATGTTCACTAGATGAATATAATTCCTACTTTCTATTTGGGTGAGACCACTTGATTCCGTGTACTATGCGAGATCTGAGCTCTTCCGTTCTCCCTGGCATTTGCATTTTAAGTTCCGATACTGACCGACCTGGCCAATGCACCATTTTCTCTATACATGTGCGTTGAATACATTTCAAACCTTTTTAGCTGACTAGATTTATATATTTCCCACCTTCTGATCGAGTGAGACCGTTAGATTCCCTCTACTTTTTGAGAAATGAGCGTTTCCGTTCTACCTGGCCCCACCTGCACTATGAGTGCGAAATGCCGGCCAGACTGGCCGATGCACCATTTTCTCTACACATGTGCATTAGATACCTTTCAAACCCTTACGTTCACTAGATCAATTTATTTCCTACCTTATATTTGAGTGAGACCACTAGATTCCGTGTATTATGCGAAATCTGAGCGGTTCCGTTCTCCCAGGCATTTGCACTCTAAGTTCCCATACTGACCGACCTGGCCAATGCACCACTTTCCATATACATATGCATTCGATTCCTTTCGAACCTTATAAGCTCACTAGATTTATATATTTCCCACCTTCTGATCGAGTGAGACCACTAGATTCCCTCTACTTTTTGAGAAATGAGCGTTTCCGTTCTCCTTGGCCCTAGTTGCACTATCAGTTCGAAATGCCGGCCAGACTGGCCGACGCACAATTTTCTCTACACATGTGCGTTAGTTACCTTTCAAACCCTTATGTTCACTAGATGAATATATTTCCTACTTTCTATTTGGGTGAGACCACTTGATTCCGTGTACTATGCGAGATCTGAGCTCTTCCGTTCTCCCTGGCATTTGCATTTTAAGTTCCGATACTGACCGACCTGGCCAATGCACCATTTTCTCTATACATGTGCGTTGAATACATTTCAAACCTTTTTAGCTGACTAGATTTATATATTTCCCACCTTCTGATCGAGTGAGACCGTTAGATTCCCTCTACTTTTAGAGAAACAAGCGTTTCCGTTCTCCCTGGCCCCACCTGCACTATGAGTGCGAAATGCCGGCCAGACTGGCCGATGCACCATTTTCTCTACAGATGTGCGTTAGTTACCTTTCAAACCCTTACGTTCACTAGATGAATATATTTCCTACCTTATATTTGAGTGAGACCACTAGATTCCGTGTATTATGCGAGATCTAAGCAGTTCCGTTCTCCCAGGCATTTGCACTCTAAGTTCCCATACTGACCGACCTTGCCAATGCACCACTTTCCATATACATATGCATTAGATTCCTTCCGAACCTTATTAGCTCACTAGATTTATATATTTCCCACCTTCTGATCGAGTGATCCCGCTAGATTCCCTTTACTTTCTGAGAAATGAGCGTTTCCGTTCTCCTTGGCCCTACTTGCACTATAAGTGCGAAATGCTGGCCAGACTGGCCGATGCACAATTTTCTCTACACATGTGCGTTAGTTACCTTTCAAACCCTTACGTTCACTAGATGAATATATTTCCTACCTTATATTTGAGTGAGACCACTAGATTCCGTGTATTATGCGAGATCTGAGCGGTTCTGTTCTCCCAGGCATTTGCACTGTAAGTTCCCATACTGACCGACCTGGCCAATGCACCACTTTCCATATACATATGCATTAGATTCCTTTCGAACCTTATTAGCTCACTAGATTTATATATTTCCCACCTTCTGATCGAGTGAGACCGCTAGATTCTTTTTACTTTTTGAGAAATGAGCGTTTCCGTTCTCCTTGGCCCTACTTGCACTATAAGTGCGAAATGCCGGGTAGACTGGCCGACGCACCATTTTCTCTACACATGTGCGTTAGTTACCTTTCAAACCCTTACGTTCACTAGATGAATTTATTTCCTACCTTCTATTTGAGTGAGACCACTAGATTCTGTGTACTATGCGAGATCTGAGCGCTTCCATTCTCCCTGGCATTTGCACTGTAAGTTCCCATACTGACCGACCTGGCCAATGCACCACTTTCCATATACATATACATTAGATTCCTTCCGAACCTTATTAGCTCACTAGATTTATATATTTCCCACCTTTTGATCGAGTGATCCCGCTAGATTCCCTTTACTTTCTGAGAAATGAGCGTTTCCGTTCTCCTTGGCTCTACTTGCACTATAAGTGCGAAATGCCGGCCAGACTGGCCGATGCACCATTTTCTCTACACATGTGCGTTAGTTACCTTTCAAACCCTTACGTTCACTAGATGAATATATTTCCTACCTTATATTTGAGTGAGACCACTAGATTCCGTGTATTATGCGAGATCTGAGCGGTTCTGTTCTCCCAGGCATTTGCACTCTAAGTTCCCATACTGACCGACCTGGCCAATGCACCATTTTCCATATACATATGCATTAGATTCCTTTCAAACCTTATAAACTCACTAGATTTATATATTTCCCACCTTCTAATCGAGTGAGATCGCTAGATTCCCTTTACTTTTTGAGAAATTAGCGTTTCCGTTCTCCTTGGCCCTACTTGCACTATAAGTGCGAAATGCCGGCCAGACTGGCCGATGCACCATTTTCTCTACACATGTGCGTTAGTTACCTTTCAAACCCTTACGTTCACTAGATGAATTTATTTCCTACCTTCTATTTGAGTGAGACCACTAGATTCCGTGTACTATGCGAGATCTGAGCGCTTCCGTTCTCCCTGGCATTTGCACTCTAAGTTCCCATACTGACCGACCTGGCCAATGCACCATTTTCCATATACATATGCATTAGATTCCTTTCAAACCTTATTAGCTCACTAGATTTATATATTTCCCACCTTCTGATCGAGTGAGACCGCTGGATTCCCTTTACATTTTGAGAAATGAGTGTTTCCGTTCTCCTTGGCCCTACTTGCACTATAAGTGCGAAATGCCGGCCAGACTGGCCGATGCACCATTTTCTCTACACATGTGCGTAAGTTACCTTTCAAACCCTTACGTTCACTAGATGAATTTATTTCCTACCTTCTATTTGAGTAAGACCACTAGATTCCGTGTACTATGCGAGATCTGAGCACTTCCGTTCTCCCTGGCATTTGCACTCTAAGTTCCCATACTGACCGACCTGGCCAATGCACCATTTTCCATATACATATGCATTAGATTCCTTTCGAACCTTATTAGCGCACTAGATTTATATATTTCCCACCTTCTGATCGAGTGAGACCGCTAGATTCCCTTTACTTTGTGAGAAATGAGCGTTTCCGTTCTCCTTGGCCCTACTTGCACTATAAGTGCGAAATGCCGGCCAGACTGGCCGATGCACCATTTTCTCTACACATGTGCGTTAGTTACCTTTCAAACCCTTACGTTCACTAGATGAATTTATTTCCTACCTTCTATTTGAGTGAGACCACTAGATTCCGTGTACTATGCGAGATCTGAGCGCTTCCTTTCTCCCTGGCATTTGCACTCTAAGTTCCCATACTGACCGACCTGGCCAATGCACCATTTTCCATATACATATGCATTAGATTCCTTTCGAACCTTATTAGCTCACTAGATTTATATATTTCCCACCTTCTGATCGAGTGAGACCGCTAGATTCCCTTTACTTTTTGAGAAAAGAGCGTTTCCGTTCTCTTTGGCCCTACTTGCACAATAAGTGCGAAATGCCGGCCAGACTGGCCGATGCACCATTTTCTCTACACATGTGCGTTAGTTACCTTTCAAACCCTTACGTTCACTAGATGAATTTATTTCCTACCTTCTATTTGAGTGAGACCACTAGATTCCGTGTACTATGCGAGATCTGAGCGCTTCCTTTCTCCCTGGCATTTGCACTCTAAGTTCCCATACTGACCGACCTGGCCAATGCACCATTTTCCATATACATATGCATTAGATTCCTTTCGAACCTTATTAGCTCACTAGATTTATATATTTCCCACCTTCTGATCGAGTGAGACCGTTAGATTCCCTCTACTTTTAGAGAAACAAGCGTTTCCGTTCTCCCTGGCCCCACCTGCACTATGAGTGCGAAATGCCGGCCAGACTGGCCGATGCACCATTTTCTCTAAAGATGTGCGTTAGTTACCTTTCAAACCCTTACGTTCACTAGATGAATATATTTCCTACCTTATATTTGAGTGAGACCACTAGATTCCGTGTATTATGCGAGATCTAAGCAGTTCCGTTCTCCCAGGCATTTGCACTCTAAGTTCCCATACTGACCGACCTGGCCAATGCACCACTTTCCATATACATATACATTAGATTCCTTCCGAACCTTATTAGCTCACTAGATTTATATATTTCCCACCTTTTGATCGAGTGATCCCGCTAGATTCCCTTTACTTTCTGAGAAATGAGCGTTTCCGTTCTCCTTGGCTCTACTTGCACTATAAGTGCGAAATGCCGGCCAGACTGGCCGATGCACCATTTTCTCTACACATGTGCGTTAGTTACCTTTCAAACCCTTACGTTCACTAGATGAATATATTTCCTACCTTATATTTGAGTGAGACCACTAGATTCCGTGTATTATGCGAGATCTGAGCGGTTCTGTTCTCCCAGGCATTTGCACTCTAAGTTCCCATACTGACCGACCTGGCCAATGCACCATTTTCCATATACATATGCATTAGATTCCTTTTTAACCTTATAAACTCACTAGATTTATATATTTCCCACCTTCTGATCGAGTGAGACCGCTAGATTCCCTCTACTTTTTGAGAAATGAGCGTTTCCGTTCTCCTTGGCCCTAGTTGCACTAT